TGCTTCAGATAACATTTCCAATTCTAAAAATTACTAATTTTATTGTTGTTACATATAATAAAAATTAATAATTTTTTTTAATGAAAGATATACCATCTTCATCCATATCCTTAGGATCTGGCCTGGCTGGTTTTGTTTCAGGATTTGGATCAATTTCTCCAGGTTTTAGTTTACGAGGATCATCTGTAGCATCATCTCCTTCTTCTTTTTTTTGGGCTTGATCTCTGATATAAAAATAAAAAATACATAAAACTCATTTTCAAAAACAATATGAATTTAAATTTATAAAATTTATCTCACAGCAAATATTCATAACGTTCTAAGCATTGTGCAGCTGTACGTCCTATAATTGGAGCAATTGTTCTCCATTGAGTAGGCATTAATTTTGCAAGATGAAGAAGTTTTTCATCTTCTTCTCTGCTCCATTCTGTTTTTTTAATGCTTGGATCTAACCATTCAAACCAACGTGCTTTACATTGTTTAGCAGACTTTCTATGTAAAAGAGATGCTATTCTACTCCATTGATTTTTGCCATATTTCATTACAGCTGCTTTTAAGATTTCATCCTAAAAAATTAAAAGATTTATATAAAAACTTATTTTTAATCACCAAATAATTAAAAACTTAAATATAGGTTAGAAATTCTTTCTTACCTCCGTATTACGCCAAACTCCACCTTTTATCATAATACGCGGCATTTTTTATATATTTTTTATTTTCATTAAAAAAACAATAAAAAATTAAAAATTTTCACTAGTATTTATTTGATGAATAATAACCTCATTGGAATTAGCGACAGTAACTTCAACAGAAGAGTGGTCAGTGCGACATCAGAGACATCAATGAAAGAAAGAAACAAAATATTAATTTCTGATATAAAAATAAAAATTACATTAAATTAAATAAAGATCATAATTTACATTAACATTCATAATTAAAAACGAGATACATATAAAAATATATATAAATAATGAGAGTATCTTTATATATTAAAAGATTTTAAAATCATTAGTTTTATACATTTAATACATAATTATTGAATAATAATATATACATAATAAAAATAAGAAAATGTATGAATTATACATAATACATTATGCAAGTAATATTTGAATTATAAATACTTAAATATATATTTAATATATATTATAATATATATATTAAATATATATTATAAATACTTATAGATAATGATATTGAAATAGAAATTAAATTAATATGATATATATTCAATTATACATTTATGAAAATATTCGAACTTATATCATATTGAAAAATTTATTTAATTCAAAAATTTTTATTGTAATAAAAGTTTGTATATAAAGTATAATGAATTATATAGAACATAGGGCAACTTTTTTCGATAAAATTTTTTTGAAAAAATAAAATCCATAAATTTTGAGATATTTTCAATATTGAATATACTTATATTTAAAAATAAAATTTTTACGATTTATAGAGCATTATATTTTTGAAAAATTGAATTGAAAACAACAAATAAAATAAACAAATAAAACGAACAAATAAAATGAAATAAATAATTTTTTTTATTGTAAAATAGAATTTCTAGATTTCTTATATGTGATATATTTTATATTTAGAAATAATCATTTAGAAGAAATTATTTTTTGTACATATAGTAGGTTTAAAATGAATTAATAAAATTTAATATTTAAATCTCATGATATAATAAATTTATAAATTTAATCTATTTGTATATTTCTTTATAAATTTTGAATTAATAAAATAATAGTAATAGTAAATATTAAAATAATAAATTACTAAAAAAAATAGTAATTTAAAATCAATTGCTTATTTATATTTTTTATATAATTGATTTAAAAATAATATTAAATAAATATTTAATTATTTCATATTAAATTCTACATCACTATTTTTTTTTATTTTATATTTCTAATGATAATTTCATACAAATTACTGACATTTATTGACATTTATCTAAATGAATACATCAGTAACAATTAAGATAAAATTAATTATTAATAATATAACATTTATTTTACATTCAGACTACAAATAAATAATAAAAATTTTAAATACAAATAATATTATATATATATATATATAAATATAGATTTTGTAAATATTATTATACACACAATATCTTCACTTTTTAATAAAATTATTTTTTATTTGAAAAATTTAAAAAAATTTAATTTAATTTAATTGTACAGAGAATGATTTAATTATTTACAACATAATAGTAACATATATTAACTATTTAATTATATTATATATTATAATTTATAATATTATTATATTATAATATATAATATTAATAATTTAATATTATTATTAAAATTTTTATAGAATTATATTATAGTATTATAATACATAATTTTAATATAGCATTTACATGAGCTTTTTAATGATATGTAAAATATAACAATATAATTTTTTTATCTTTAAATTTTAAGGTTTCCAACTAAGAAAACTATCTTGTATAAATATTTGTTTAAATATACTAGGTGTAATAGATTGTGGAGTTTTACGATTACGTTGAGCTTCTAAAATGTATGAAACTTTTTCCCTTGCTTCACTACGAGAAATATCACCTCTAAGACCCAATAATCTAACTAAATGATCTTCAGTCATATCTGGATATTTTTCAACCAATGAATGTAAATCAAGAGAAAGAATTTCTGAATCTTCACAACGTAATACCTCAGCCAGACGTTTAATTATTTCAAAAGGAGAATTAAAATTTCCTACTTTTGGAGCTATTCTATCAAAAAAATTTTTTAACTTATCTGCTTCTGTCATTATCTTTGATGTACATGTTAAACATTCATCATATGTTTTTAAAGATATTTTTCTCTGTAACATTGCAGAAATATAACGTTTTGCAATAAGATTTTGTGCTTCTGTAATAACATATTCAAAATTTTTTGGACATAGATGATTGTAATCCTGAAAATAATCTTCTAAAGTCACACAAATAGTTTCTACTGGAATAGGAGATGATAACCATTTAGGAGTAATCAAATCTTGAAATTGTAATTCTAAATCTAAGAAAGATTCTTCTAATAATATAGCTGCTGCTTCATTTCGTAATTGTTGATAATTTGATAATAAATTTTCAAATTTAACAGTAGCATCTCCACTAGTATTAGAAACCCAGTATAGCTGTTTCATTTGCTGTGCTAATTCTGTAAATTGTAAGCAATTATTAACAACTGTAATCATATGATGTGTAAAATAAGGTACTTGACTTCTATCTTCAAAATGTTTGCTTTTAAATTCCAATATTGCTTGTCTATACATAAATCCATATTTAATTACTTGTTCAATACATAAGATTATAGCTTGTGCTGTTAGTTCAGTACTAATTGTTTTTGTAACTTGAAGATTTTGATCAATCATTTGAAATATAATCACAGGTGCTGCTGTATGATAATATGCTTCTTGAGTACTTCCTTCTGGTATCACTCCACTCCACCAATCCACTTTTTCAGTTTCCAAAGTCTTTTTCATCCAATCTTCATAATTTTGACACATATTTTTTAAATATTTCTCTTGAAGATCATTTATAATTTCTGAACTCAGCAAAGGACCTATATCACTTGTATCAATATTTAATTCAGGATGTTGCATTAATTCTGGACCAGTATAAGTATTCATAATCCATGATAATAAAGATACATATTCATTTCCTTCTAAACCATTAGCAATTATGTCTTTCAAATGTTGTGATAAACTTGTGTGATACATTTTAACAAAAGTTCTTACAATATTATACCAAGGTGGAAAACAAGGTTCACATAGAGTTTTAGCAACTCTTAAATCTTCCAAAATTAATAATCTTGTAAGCTCTAAATATCGAACTAACCACATTTTATTATCTACTCTTTCTTCAACATGAGTTCCTTCAATTCTATTGGCTACAGATTTTTCTAAAACTTTCATTGCCATATCTTTCCATTTTTTAGGTCTTCCTGGTGGCATAAATCCACTTTGTTTATGTCTTTGAATAGCAAAATGATCTGCTTTCTCTTCTCTTTCTATAATTCTTAATGCTGTTACAATGACAGTAGGTTCTTTTCTAACTGTATTCAAAGTACGGCTTAATACTAGTCTGATTTGTTTTTCCATTAGTTGTGAAAGCATTTCAACATCTTCTAAATAAGCTTTTAACATAACAGTATCAGCTGGTGATTGATTTGGAAGTTTATGAAGTTCATATAATAAATCATCTCTTGAATTTTCAAGATCCATAATGATTTGATGAGCATATAAAAGATTTCCTTGATTTATCCACTGTTTAGTCATTTCAACGCTTTCAGGCAAAGTAAATGTATGTTTCAAATTTTCTTTAGCAGTAACATATTGAGAATGACGCATATTTTCTTCTTGAACAGCTTGTAATTTTGCACTAAGTTCTGGAACTTTATTGAAAAATTCATTAATATTATTCAAATCTTGTTTTATTGAAGCAATACTTTCTAAAGAACTTTGGAGCTGTTCAAAGCCTACACGAACTCCATCTAATTGACTTTGCATTGCAGTTTTGAGCATAGTTTCCACTGAAGCTTTTTTTCTACTTATTCTACGTTTGTACATATCAATTTTTTCCAATTGACCTGGTCGTTGCAATAAATTACATCCATATTTTGTTGCTCTTGCTTTAGCTTCCTCTTCCAATTTTTGCAAATCTTCCATTTTTAAAACTTTTTTCCCTAATATTTTACTTTATAAATTAATGGTTTATTTTATATACTTTTGTTTACTTATATAAAATGAGAAATAATGATTTTTACTTAAACAGATTCATTTAAAGAAAAAATATATAGATTATTTTAATATTCACACAATACAGGTTAGACATATATCTTAACACATGTTTACATTAAAAAGTTATGTTGATTTTCGATATATGAACTCACCTTAACTTTTTAAACGTAATCTTGCAAATGCACATTGTTGTTTTTCAATCTAAAACAAAAATTTGAATATTCAATTATAATAAGGAATGTAAATTAAAAGAATTTAGATTATTTAACAATAATAAAAAGAGTTCATTGTAATATTTATAGAAATTGTAGATATAATTTAAATTCTCTTTTTATACAAATGCATTCTATAAAGCAAATATCGAATATAATCAATTTATATTATAAAAGTTATTCACGAAGATGTTTAACCTCTAAATCATCTGAAAATGTAGAAATTGAAAGAGAACAAAAGGGTAAATAATTATTTTTATTTATATATTATATAATATATATTTATTACAACTTTTATATTTTAAATTATAATTTATTCTAGAAAAAAATATTGTAGTGCAACATTTTGAAAATGTTGCTATGATTGGTATAAATCGACCTGAAACAAAAAATGCTTTAAATGTTGTAACTGCACAAGAACTGGCAGATGAAATAGATAAATTTGAAAATGATGAAAACTGTTTAATTGGTATACTTCATGGAATAGGAGGAAATTTTTGTAGTGGTTATGATCTTAAAGAAATTGCACAATACAATGGAAAAAATGAAGAAGTTTTACCTCAATTTGGATCATTGGTAAATTAAATAAATTTAAAATTTACATTTCATGTAAAATTATTTATTTATTATAATATTAATTTTTATAAATTTTTACAATGCTTATAGGCTAATAAAATTGAATTGAGTAAGAAACCTTTAATAGCTGCTATAAACGGATATGCTCTAGGAGTAGGATTTGAACTTGCATTAATGTGTGATCTTAGAGTAATGGAAGAAAGTGCATTATTAGGTTTTGCCAATAGACGATTTGGGATACCCATATTATGTGGTGGTACAGTTCGATTACCTGCTTTAATTGGATATTCAAGAGCAATAGATTTGATTCTAACTGGTCGTCATATTGGTGCAAAAGAAGCATTTTCATATGGTTTAATTAATCGTTATACATCTGTTGGTAACGGTATAGTAATAAATGCATTATAGTAATAAATAATAATATATAAATATAACAAAAAGTATAATGAATATAATAAGAAATATAATGAATATGAAATATATGTCTTTCTATTCACAGTGATAGGACATACAGTAAATTTTGCAAGATCTTTTGTGAAGTTTCCTAAAAAAACACTGCTTGCCGATCGAGCTTCTGTACATTATGCTACATTTTCTGCTAAACAATTAGAAGAAGCTATACAATTTGAGAAAGACAATGCATCTCATTTATTATTTGAAGAAGGAGTTGAAGGTGCAAAAAGATTTGTTACAGAAGGATTAGGAAAACATGGAAAATTTTATAATATTACGGAAATAAATATGAAATTTAAAGAATTAGATAAAGATCTTTTATGAAGATTCTATAAAAATAAATTTGTTTTAAAATTTTGTACATAGAAAATTACATTTTCATGTAGTTATCATATAGTATATATTTAAAATATATTCAAATTTTGTAATATGACTAAATATCTATTATATTCTATGTGTATTATTACCCCTTTTTAAAGAAGATTTAGCAGATAAATTTCTTTTAGGAAAGACAAACTTTATTAATATATCATTGCACTTTTTCATTATTTTTCCATTAAGAAGAGGTGTGATGTTTATCATTTGACCATTTATATCTCCTAAATAAATAATATTTATTGATAACAATATTTTATATAATATTTAAAACTTACGTTCAAATGTAATTATTATATATGTTAAATTTGCTTGAAAAACATTAAGACCAAGTGTGTGTGGTTCAAAAAAGGTAATTTTTCTTAATTGACAATTAATTTCATCACATAAATCAAATTCAGCTATAAATATATTATAAATATTTATTATAAATATTTATTATTTATTTATTATTTAAACAAATTAATAGAAATAAATATATAGTCACTTGTATCGTTCAATCCCACTACACTTCGAATATAATTTAGAATTAATTTAAGTGGGCAATTAATATTTACTAAAATTTCTTTATGATCTTCCTCTAATTGATTATTTTGCTCGTTACCAGGAACTATAAATTAAATATAAATAATATATTTATTTAATAAATATTATACAACAAAAATATTCTTACTGGAATATTTGATTCGGATAATCGATGTCATCGCATGGCAAATATTGAAATATTGAGATCGATATATAGACATACATAAGAAAAATAAATTATTAATTCGTTTTATATATTCTCTTCTAAAAGAATATCATATATTATAAGGTTAAAATAATCGAAAATTGTTCGATATTTATTACTGTTCGATATTCAATTTATATTAAATTTTCGAACTTAATTGTTTTTTAATTAGATTATAATTTTTAAAAATATATTAAAAACTAAAATATAATTTTATTTTTAATGTATTATCTTTATCTAATATTATCCTTATTTTAACTACATTATCATCAGCACATATATAAATATATATAATCGTTGGAGCTATTTCGATTTTAAATCTATTCATTGCCTGTATATAATAATAAGTGCATCATCGATATAACAATGTGCGTTCAATGTGTTATCGGATTGCAGTCAGATTTTCTTTTAGTGATTATTGACGCATTCATTCGATTGGAATTTAAAATAATCGTGGAATTTCATATTCAAGTTGAACAACGACCGTCCACAGGTTTAATTGGCGAAAGTAATGCGAACCAGCCACCACCATCGAGCCACTTAAAGCTGTGTGACGAAATGAGTGCAGGTGGCAGTGCATTGTTGCGCAATCGTTTATATCCCTTCTCTTCCTCCTCTTTCTTGTAACCAGGAGTCAGGACGAGAGTCCCCTTAGTAACCAGAAGGCCCTCCCCACCATGTACCTTCCTCCTTGCTCGACCTGGTGAATGTTGCGCACCCGCAAATCTCCTTTGATATTCTTTCGTTTCTTTCTTCTGTTTTAAATTTTCTAAGGATTCGATTTTTTTTTCTATTAATCTCTCTTTTCTATTAAATTTTCTAAGGATTTGATTTTTTTTTCTATTAATCTTATGTTAATTAATTATTTTTCAGTTTTATGAATATTTGTTGATATAAAATTTTAAAATTTAATTGTAAAAAATTGCCTAGAAATAATTTAATTAAGAAAAGAAAAAATAAAATTGTAGTTTAATAAATGCATATATTTATATTTATTTATTTTATAATATATAAATTTTAATCTATTCGAATTATTAAAAAAAGATTTTTTATCTTATAACATAATTGATCTTAAAGTTCAGAATTAATTAATAATTATTAATTGAAATTTTAGAAGAAAAACAAAAAATTATTCTCAATGTATTACAACTAATAACTTTTATTATATTTTTTATTATAGCGAAATGATGAAAAAGAATATAAGATATAAAAGGGCGGTTCTCTAATTTTCATCTTCGTTTTGATTAATCCTGTTGTGTATATGGCATTTGAGAAGATGCTAGAGCCTTTCACGAATCACCACTTGATCGTATAATGTGTTATTGTTGCTAGTATATTAGTGAAACAAAAATTTCCTTTGTTGAGAGAGGTAAATCAATGCATTCTTTATGAGAAAATAAGGTGTGAAAGTCATATATCTAATTGTTTCGAATATTTGTTCCTAATATTTTTTTTCTCATTTGATGTTTTCAGATATGAATACATACATATAATACATATATATACATATAAGTATTCATCATTTGAATATTATTTTTTTAATCATTATAAATTTTTCTCATAAATCTTTCAAAAAATTCGGGAAATAATTTTCATAATTTGCAAAAAAATATATCTATTTTTGATATAATAAAAAGTATCCGGAATTTCATTTGATATTTTTACGATCCATTTTTAATCTATTTTTAACTCTTTTATAGGTTAATAAAATAACAAAACATTACAATGTATATTATCAAAATGATAAATTATATATAATTATATAGAAATGATTAATTATTTAATTGATAACACATTTTTTTCTAGACAAGCTATTGTTATCTAAATAAGCTACAGAATCTCGAAAAAAAACTTAACTAGTAATTCTTAGGATGATTTTAAGCAACTTTTTTCTTTGCGAAAATTTTCTTTTATATCAAAAATTAATTATAATAAAATATTAATAAATTAATTATAATAATATATTATATCAAAAATTAATAATAATAAAAAATTTATTATATTAATTATTATATTATTATTATGAAATTTATGTTAAAAAATTATTATTATTATTATTATTACGAAAAACATTAGTTAATCACAGAACATATAAAGCTATAATGTTTCGAAGTAGTAAATAATATTGGATATACATCGCCGGCTTGAACAAACAATGAAACATATGAAACATATTTAAAACAGTTAAGTTAATAATATTAATAATATTTAAAACAAATGTACTGAATAATTATTGAGAAAAAGTTATATCGGATTATACTTATTTACAAACAATTAATAAATTCGTCATATGTTACTTCTACCATCGGAGTATCGGACAACTCTTTAAATAATATTTATATAATAATACTAATACTATGTTACGCTATCAATGTGACGCTATCTATGCGTTCTACGATTGATTAATATTTTTCATTAACAAAAATTTTCGTAAAAGAAAAAATTATTTGAAATCATTTCAAAAATCGCCATTTAAACTTAATTAACTTTTGAAACATTCTGTAAATCTCAATTTCAAATGAGCCAAAGATCAATATCTTTGAAATTCTATAAATAAATTCTATAATCTACAATTATTTTAAATTTTATTGAACGTTTTTATAGTTCATCTATAGTATATCTATGCTCAGCTTTTTTGTAACTCAATAAAATAATAAAATTATTATAATTATTGAAAATTATTATAATTATTATAATTATTATTATATAATATTATAATGTATATAATTATTATTGTAACATATAACAATTTACTGAATTAATAATCAATTGTTTTTATGAGTATAAATTATTGAAAAAAACTTAGTTTAGATTAAATAATAGGTTAAACGTTAATATTTACCTACGAAAGCCTATTAACAAAAACAAGTATCTAGAATCTCGGCATTATTGCAGTCCATTCTGTATCTTCAGTCCTTTTGGAGCTCAATAAAATATCAAAGCTTAAAGAGTCTGTTCGAAGTCACCTTTTTGATAAATAAAATCGTTAAAGGAAAACAGACTGTGCAATTTTCATGTGCACACTCAAAAAAATACGCGAATCATAACAATCGCTTCAACTTGATTCCTGTGCATTTTCTAGTCGATGTTGATCGTATCTGCATACCACTTAACTATTACGTTTTACGAAGTAGATGGACATAAAGTCGCCGTTCTTTGTCCAGCAACAGATTACATTGTTGTCCTGTTTTATCCAGTAATCGGACGATAAAAGGGAATAATTTTTTTTTTTTTGTGAGCGTAAATTTATAAAAAAATTGACCATTCTGATATATCTGTAAAATTACAGATGTACATATATATATACATATATCTTTGATACATCTGCTGGATCAATAGGCTATGAATTTACATCGATGTTTCCATTCAATTTTTCATTGGAGATCTAATCAAAAAAAGATAAAAATAATTCCTGTCAATTTCTAAATAATATGGAGAATATTGCATCCTTACTTCGAGAGTGATACAATTTGAAATATTTATTTTTAGTGAAATAAGAATATTTTTTTTGAATATAATAATTAGAGTTGAATGTTTATTTATTTATAAAAATTTTAATATACAAATATAATAATATACAAATATAATATACAAATACTTATAGAATATATATTATATACAGAAAATAATAATATATATTATATATAGAAAAACATATATTTAAAATATAGTAAATACATTATTTGAAAAATAAGACAAATTTTAGTTTTATTTCTTTAGTCATATAAAAATTTTGTATAAATACCTTAAAGCAGTCTAATAATAATAAATTATATTTTGTTAATCAAATTTATCAATAAAAAGAAAACTTCTATACAAAATAAAAATATCGTTTTCAATAATCCAAAAAGCTGTAAAAAATTTTTTTATAACAGTAATTGAAAAAACATATTGAAATTTTATTATTTAAAAAAAATATATAAAATATTATTGAAAAATCTTTTGATCATCCGAGGAATTTAAGATTAATTTTGATAAATTTTAAATTGATATAAAGTTTAAATTAAATTTAAATAAAATAAAAAATTTTTTTTGGATATGCTGATATTGATAAATAATTAATTATTGAAAAATAATATATAGTTTTTAATTTTTATATTAAAGTATAAAATATTTTGATATTTTACTAATTTATTTATAACTATATTTTTGCACTTCCACTTTGTGCAAAAAATCAATAAAATTTAAAATAATGAAAAGAAATTATAAAAAAAAAATTACATATGATGAAATATATCATACATATTGTAAGTGCGTATTTATTTCTG